AGAGGGAAAAACAACCTTAGCTTGACAACAGCAAGGCCTCAGGTATCTTAGGAATCCTCTTTAGCACATCAAAGTCCCTCTGGAGGCCTCCCTTTTGTCTTGACCTCCCCAACTCCAGAGTATATAACCAGCCACTCTTCACAACCCCAGTGCAGCTCTTCCTGCCCACGGGTCTTGGTCCCGTGCTTTAATACAATCACCTTTTTGCATCAAAGACGTCTTCAAGAATTGTTTCTTGTACGTCGCCTCCAGAACCCCCACCGTCATCCCAAAACTTCATCATATGGTGCCCAGCTTGGGGCTACAAATCCTTCCATCTGGACTCTGAGCTGGTGCAAACCCGGGGAGTACTTTCTCTTTTCTCCCTTTACTCTCATTCCAGGGGCTTTTCGAGGAGGATGGTCTTACCGGAACACTTTCATGTCAATTGCTCAGGCCGCAATCCTCTAGCCCATGGCTACTCTATGGGGAGGAGAAAGCCGGCCTTTCGGCTGGAAGTTAGTACCCTGGCCGGAATGGTAGTAAGACCCAGAAACTTGATGCCCTCTCTTTATTCCTGTCCTTATACAAAGTTGTCTGACTTGGGCATGGGACAGCCACCTAAGTCACCAGGATGGCTGCCAATCTTAAGACTCCCGTGTGCGGTTTCCTCCTCATTGGTCTAACGTGATCCCCTCCACATCTCTGATCTAGCCGCTTCTGGCTGAGAGACCTCCACTGGGAGCCGGCCGAAACCAGTACCCCATTGAATGGAAACCATAGGGGGGACTGAAGTTGGCTATAAAGACTAGGTGTTGGAATGTCGCTTAGATTATGATGGATTTCCATCTTTACTGTTTTCCGTCAGTGTCCTCTACTAACTATTTAAATTATAAAATTGTGTTATCCCTCCTTGTAAAACTTTTCTAGTGTTTTCCATGGTGAAAGACGGAGGTTTCTTCTCTGCCTTCTCAGCAAGGCTAACTCAGGTCCATACACCAGGCACCCATCTGTAGCCTAGGATGCAATGGGGAAGCGGCGGGATGCTAGTATCCCTCCTCAGGGGCCCTTAGTGGCTGGTCAGCAGTCATAACGATTTCATTCGAGGGATGCCTCAGGTTGCTTTGGCACCTCAGGAACCTCTGACATATCCTGTACGTGGGACGCCACCAGGGAGTTGGGGGATTCTCGTGGTAATGGACCTTCACTACTTCTCTCTCTCTCTACTTTTCTCTCTAGGAGGAGCATGGGAGCATCTCTTCGGTCCCCAAGGGTTCTCCTTTGAGATGCCTTTTAACCACTGGAAACAATTTGGATTGCAAAATGTAGACAAGGACTGATCTCCTGTAACACTGCATGGCCTTAAACAGGGCAAAGGAACACAGGTACCCTAGGTCTAGCCTTCACGGCTCTAAATCAGGACCCAGACCAAAAGGCCTCTTGCAGAGAGGCTCTGGACCTCCCACCATCACCCCAAAACCCCATCAGTACTAGTGTTGTATATTTCTAAGGCTGGTTGCATAAAACAACTCTTACTGTATTTGCAAGATAGAGAGGGGGGCGTCCACTAACATTTTCTTCAGACAAACACGTTATTGCCTCAATTATATGTGGAATCTAAAACAAAAACAAAAACACCCCAAACTCCTACAAAAAGAGATCAGACTTGTGGTTAGCAGGGGAGGTAGGGAGGGGGAGCTGGACAAAGGTGTTCAAGAGGCACAAGCTCGCGCTGTAAGGAAAGGAAGTACCGGGGGGAATGCACAAGGGCCATCTATAGGCAGCCCTGCAGGAGGGAGGATATGGAAGCTGGTAAGAGGCTCAGTCCTAGCAGCTGTCATCACAAACATTGTTTTCTTTGTTTGCATCTATAGGAGATACTGGATGGTGACTAACTTATCGTGGCAATCACCTCACGACGTATGTAAGTCACATTATTATGCTGAACCCCTTAAACTTATACAGGGCCGCGTATCAATTGTATCTTAATAAAAAGGGGGAAATTTTTCTTCAAGAATTCATGCGTCGAGTTTGGAGACGGAGGAGAACAAGATGTCTTTTTTCTGATTTGTTTCCTGTGGCTCCTTTTCCCTTCAGAACTCCATTGAGAGAGCACTAGGCAAGCCCGGGGGGCGGAAATCAACTCAGCCAAATTCACCAAACTGAAGGGTTTCTTTTCCTGAGCTTTGCTTTGCCGGCCCGACAAAGCAGAGAGGCCCGGGCCTCCCAAGCCCTGGCCAGACCTGCCTGGGAGCCCCGTGCCCGGTCTCCGGGGCCCGCTTCGTCCGGCTGCCTGTCTGGCCTCCCCAGGTCCACCTGTGCTCGACCTTTCCATCTCAAACCTACTCACACTCTCTGCAGCAAGGCTAATAAACCCACTCTGAGTTTTCCTTTTCTGCTTTATTTTCTCCTTATTCTATTTTTTTTCTCCAAATTATCCTTTGATACAATTTAGGGTTTTCTATGGTCACAAACAATCCTCCCTTGATCCATGGACCCACAGATCAGCCATCACTGACTAAGCCAATGAAAAAGTATTTGGAATTAATACATGGAAGAATCCAGCCTGAGGTAATAGCCAGCCCCCATCAGTGACAAGTTCCAGACAAGGTCTTCAGCATAGGTCACAAAAAGGAAGATAAAAATTTGAGGTGTTAGAAATTTCTCAGAACTTTGACTCTTGCATTTGGTAGTTACAGAATTTTGAATGTGACCGATATCCCTAAGGCATAATTCTCCCCTAACATTTCTACCTTTGTTAGGTGGGTGGAACTTTGCTTGAAATTGTTGTTTTTTAATTTTTTTTTTAACGTTTATTTATTTTTGAGACAGAGAGAGACAGAGCATGAATGGGGGAGGGTCAGAGAGAGAGGGAGACACAGAATCTGAAACAGGCTCCAGGCTCTGAGCCATCAGCACAGAGCCTGACGCGGGGCTTGAACTCACGAACCACGAGATCATGACCTGAGCCGAAGTCGGACGCTTAACCGACTGAGACACCCAGGCGCCCCTGCTTCAAATTGTTTTTTATAGTCTGTTTCCTCTAACCTTCAAGGTACTCCTCGCTGTTTTAAGAATTAAAATCGACAGGAAAAAAAGAATTAAAATTGACAGGAGACAGACTAACAGGAGAATCAAAATTACATATATGGGGAGAAGCCACCATAAACATGAGAGATTTCAGACAGATAAAATGAGGTATAAATGTCCTTCTGGACTAAGGAGGAGGAGTGAGGAGTCTGGGCTTCAGAGGGAAGGAGGACAATTCACAGGAAGAATGGAAAGATGTTTGGTAAACAAATCTTTATGGGTCATAGAGACAATGGGACTTAGAGAAGAATTTTAACAAACAGATTTTACTAACTTCCTGCCTACCACTCCTAGTTCATATTATAATGTAGTTGTCCTTGGTGACTGCTCCTTTCCTGGAGCAGGTGCTCTATCTAAATTCTTTTTTTTTTTTTTTAATTTTTTAAAATGTTTATTCATTTTTGAGAGACAGAGAAAGACAGAGCAGGAGCAGGGCCAGGGCAAAGAGAGAGGGAAACACAGAATGTGAGGCAGGCTCCAGGCTCTGAGCTGTCAGCACAGAGCCCGATGCAGGGCTCAAACCCCACAAACTGTGAGATCATGACCTGAGCCGAAGTCAGATGCTTAACCGACTGAGCCACCCAGGCGCCCCTCTAAATTCTTTAAGCAGTTAGTGGGAAGGTCTTCCCCCCACCCCAGCCCTAAATCCCAAATATTCTCTTCTATGTTTTTTTTCTAAAGTTTTTAAATTTTACTTTTAAGCCCATGATGCATTTTGAGTTGACTGTTGCATAAGAAGTGAGCTCTGATTCAAGGTCAGCTTTTTACCTACGGATGTCCGACTGCTTCCGCATCACTTGTTTAAAAGTCTACCTTTTTTCCATGAAATTGCTTTTGCAGCTTTTGCAAAAATAATTTGAGCATATATGTGTGAGTCTGTGTTTGGGCTATCTGGTTCTACTGATTTATGTTTCTTTCCTTCTACCAATACCACACTTTCTAAATTTCATTAAGTATATAATAAAACTTCACATCTGGTAGAATAATTCCTCCTCCTCTCATTTTTTTTTTTTTATTCTTTTAGCTCTGGGGATGCCTGGCTGTTTGAGGAGTCCTGACTTCAAGCCCCACGTTGGGCGAGGAGCCTACTGAAAAAAAAAATTCTTTTAGCTCTTCTGGGTCAATTGTCTTCCCATATAAATTTTAGAACGTCCTAGCCTATGTCTGCAACAAACATTGCTGGAATTTTTATAGGAATTGCATTAAATATACAGATCAATTTAGGGGAATTTGAGGGTTACTGTTTCGCTTTCATGAGTTATTCACTCATTCATTCCCTGACCACTGGGGAAACGATGTGTTTGATAGTCTGGATTTTCTATTATTTTCCCCTAAACCACGTTATGGTTTCTTCTAGTTACATTACTGACAGATTGTATCCTTTTGGAGCACACGTCTGTCACTTTTCCTTTTCTTTCCAGGGAGAATCTCCTGGTCCAGGTGTAGGCTCTTTCATCCTAAAATGTGGCTTATGTTTTCTGTGGGAATCCTGGTGTCTTGTCCAGTGCCCCTAACTTGGGTTGAATAAACTCCCGCATGTGTCTCCACGGCGGTGGGCACAGCGGGACTCTTAGCTCATGTCTTTTCACCGTCCAGCTGTTGCCTTGCACCTGCACTCTTTGGATTTTAACTCCACACATGTACAATTTAGGAGTCTCTCAAGAATTTGAGAGAAGTTTGGGGCACCTGGGCGGCTCAGTCGGTTAAGCATCCGACTCTTGATCTCAGCTGAGGTCTCCATCTCAGGGTCCTGAGTTGAAGCCCCATGTTGAGTGTGGAGCCTACTTAAAAACAAAACAAAAAAAAGAACTTGAGAGAAGCTTCTATGCAGATTTGAGAGCTTCCCTTCCTCTGCTCCCCATAGAACCTTCCTTTCCTAGTTTATCCCCGACATTCGCAGCCATCTTAACACCCCCTGAACGCTGTTCTCTGCCTGCAAAGACCATGGAGACTCCAGCTTTGCTCAGTTTCTATGGCCACATGCCACACAGCATGGGGGTTATTTTAGGGCAACAAACCTTGCAGATGGGGATGTGAACTATTCCCTTCTTCCATGGCCTGATCCCTTTCAATTTCTACCTCCTTTAGGTCACTCTCTAATGCCTGCAAGCAGTTTTTCACTTTTGCCAGAATTTATACTTGTTATTGGCAAATGGGTTAGTTGGACATAAGCCAGTCCACCATCATCCTCTTTGTTCTTTTTTCTCCTTGTGAATTTTATGTTTTTAATCTTTTTGTTTAATGTTTTATTTTTATTATTTGAGAGAGGGTGAGTTGGGGATGGGCAAAGAGAGAGGGTGACAGGATCTGAAGGGGGCTCTACGTGGACAGCAGACAGCCCAATGTGGGGCTCGAATGTGATGGGGTTTTGGGGGTGATGGTGGGGTGGTCTGGAGCCGATGGCCAGGTAAGAATTCTTGATGTTTTGGTGCAGAAAGCTGATTTCATTAAAGCAAGGGGACAGGACCCGGGGCAAGGTAGAAAGGGCTGCACTGGGGTTGTGATGAGTAACGGATTAGATACCTTCAGGTTGGGGGGGGTTAAGTTTCTAAGGGATTTTGGAAGCAAGGTTTCCAGGATCTTGGGGGGCCAGCTGCTGGTAGGAAAATGCAATGTATTACCATTTAGTAAAGCCTCAGTCATGAGACCCTTCAGATGTATATCAGGGGCCAGAAGCTTGGATTATGATTGCCAGCATTTATCTCCGGGGAGTTGAGATAAAGGAAGTTTCCAAAGGAATTTTTATATGGTACAGTAGACTTACAGGATCCTGGGGTGTCAGGATAATGTTAACCCACGATTCCCTTTTGCCCCTAGCAAAGTGTCATCATCGAGGCAGCTGAGCTCCTAGAGGGAGGTCACTCTGCTGGCCTCAAGGACTTGTCAGTGGGCTGTAGGCAGTAAGGGAATTTAATTTCTCACTTGCCTTAGTTTCCCACATCATCATGGCTGGCACTTAAACCCCCTTCCATCTTGGTGAGGGTGGTATTAGGGCTCTAGGAAACGGAGTCTATAGGTTTCTGGAGATTAGGCTATGGAGAAGATTGCCTTTTTCTTGCAGTTTTCTAAGTTATCCGTGAACGGAAGGAGACTCCTGTCCTGCATGACTGTCATCTCTATCGGCCAACTATCTGCTTTCTTTCCTTTCCCCTGTCCTTGGGCAGCCAGGAGTGTCCGAGGAATAGCACACATATCCCATCTGATGGGAGGGTGGGGGGCGGGGCCAGTGCTGTTACCCTGTACTTTGCTGTCAGCTTGCCCCACGCTCCCTCATCGTATCCCCCCTGAACAATTTTGACCCTTAAACCTTTATGGTTGCTGAAGGTGGAAGGTCTCATATTCTGTAGCTCCTTTCTGCTGAGTAAGGGCGCAGAGATGTCCCTACCTTTATGGGTCAATATTGGTCAGGGAACATACAGGGGAGTTAAGGTGGAGGCAGCTGAATCCAAGGCGGACAACGTGGATGAACCTTCTTGAGTAGAAAGGATCGTCTGTTGGCTTGAAGTTCCTGCAGTGATGGAGTCTTGGCACCAGGCAGAGAGACAGAGACATGGGAGAAAACAGCCAAAGATAATGAGAATAACTAGAAAGATTAGCCCAAATAAAAGTCCCTTGGTAGTTGACAAAAATCCTCTAGTCTAGGAGTTTAACCAATCATGAAAGGGAAGAGAGGGATTGTTTAAAGTGCCAATTCGAGTATTCATGGCAGTTAGAAATCCAAAAATTTTTTGGTGGTCATCTGGAATGTATACGCCGCATTTCATTTTTATGACAGCTCAAGTTCCACCTTGTACAGCAGCTAAGACATCTAATGCCATTCTATTCTGTAGAATGGCTGTATGCATATGAGGTATTTTAGCATTTAATAATATAATGTTACTTTGAGAGCCACTTAAGTCCTTCACTGTGTAGCAGGTGGTGTTTAGCCATCATATAGACTCTATTTAGTAAGCAATTAGGTAATTAATAAGAGGCCCTTTTACAGAAATAAGAAAAATATAGGTTAGTGGTTAGAGCAAATTAGAAACCCAGTGTCTACCAGTGAGATTTTTAGATGTGAGGCTTGAAGCATCCTCAGATGGGAGTGGGAACGGCAGCTGGAATCAAATGGGTCGTTCTGGTTTGTAACTCAAATGTCTGGGGTGATCCTTTTGAACGACCCATTATGAGAAGGAATTGTGAATAGAAATTGGGAAAGGGGAATGAAAAAGAAAGGTACAACCATTATTTCCACTTGAAGAGAAGTTTGAGGTCTTCTACAGGTTTACGGGAATAGGAAGGCACATTAGTTTGCTCATTGATTTCCTGTAAAGGGGGTACAGGTTTTATTTAGATACGGGAGCCCATGAAGACTGCTCCTCTAACTTGACTGCAGTGGGAGTACATAATATGACCCAATATAGACCCTTCCATTTTAGAGTTAAATCCTCTGTTGTATTGGGCTTTCAATCCTTTAAATAAACCAGGTCTTTTGGGTTTATGGGGGGTGGGTTTCTAGTAACTGTCAGATCAGGTTTAGGGAGGATATGGTTTGCATACTGAGAGATTTATGAATTAACCTCAAGTGAATAATTTAATAAAGCACCATAGTCTTTATCTATTTATCTATTACCGTGAGAAAAGTCTTTTTATGTACAATTGTTGGAGGAATCCATCCCATTTCCAGTTGTTTAAATAGTATGCCCATGGGGTTATTATTCCCACAGAATAACAAGCAAGGCAATTGTCCATACCTGTACTTATTGGGACAATTTTTCTGCAGTTGTCTAGTTTAGGCAAACAACAAACATTTAAAGACAACCAGAACTAGAATTTAACATCCATATGGTACATTATTGAAACAGTTTTTCTCTCTTAAAAATCCTCATTTCCAGAGACAGCCAAATCAAGACTAATTCTTTTGTAAAACAAATCCAGTTTAACAAACTTGGCCTAATTATTTACATATGCTCAGCAAGAATAGCGATTGATCATAAGGGTCTTTTAAAGTTTGCTTTGCCAACCTGGGTGGCTCATTCAGTTGAACATTCGACTTCAGCTCAGGTCGTGATCTCATGGTCCATGAGTTCGAGCCCCGCGTCAGGCTCTGTGCTGACAGCTCAGAGCCTGGAGCCTGTTTCAGATTCTGTCTCCCTCTCTCTCTGCCCCTCCCCCACTCACTCTCTCTCTCTCTCTCTCTCTCTCTCTCTCTCAAAAATAAATAAACATTAAAAAAAGATTTTAAGTTTGCTTTGCCAGAACCTGCCTCTCCAGGCCAGAAGCCAACGCAAGTACTTGCCCTCAGACATGCCTGCAACACCGGTAGAATTGGGTGAATTCCTGGGGCGCCTGGGTGGCTCAGTCGGTTGAGCGTCCGACTTCGGCTCAGGTCATGATCTCGCTGTCTGTGAGTTCAAGCCCCGCGTCGGGCTCTGTGCTGACAGCTCAGAGCCTGGAGTCTGCTTCGGATTCTGTGTCTCCCTCTCTCTCTGACCCTCCCCCATTCATGCTCTGTCTCTCTCCGTCTCAAAAATAAATAAACATTAAAAAAAATAAATAAAAAAAAAATAAAAATAAGAATTGGGTGAATTCCTCTTCACAAGGTCCCCAAGATATCCTGAGGTTCCTGCCCCTGCCAGGAAGTGACATTCTTTACTCACCTGGTAAGCCTGGTAGGAATTCTGTAAGCAAGGTATCAGCCCAACATTTCCAAGGGGCTTTATGGCTCCAGGTTTCATAAAGTCAACCTTAACTCCTTAGAGCTGTAGGGTCATATCTGAGTCTATGCATGTCTCACAAGTATGACATTCCAGTCAAAGCCTTGGTAAAGCAACCAGTATTTCCAATGGTGTCCTGTTACAAGGAGAAGATTCTTATTGAAATTCTGCAAAAAGTATGATTGCTGGAAGAATACTCACTGAGACTTTTTGAATTTTAGAGGGTTCAGGTAGAGAGAAAATATAAATGCTTCAGTTTACAATTGAATACTTTATGAAATTTCTGTATATTCTATATATCGAAAGAGAACATTTCCTCAATCTGGAAGAGCAAACATTAGACAACCAGCAATATTTCCAACAAGAGTCACAAAACTATAATCTTCCTCAGTTCATTTAGTCCCACGTTCCTAATTCTTGTTCCGTTTGAATGCAACTTTTTAGTTCTGGAAATTCTTACCCATTTTAGTTTTAGGATTTTAAAGATGTCAAATACTTGTATTTGTCTTAAAAGTCCTTTTTATGAATCTCCTTGAAGATGAAATTCATTTTGTGAGAGAATAAGAACAATTATAAATGACAAAATCTCAGAAATGGACATTGTGCCAGATCTGAGGAGAGTTCATTATGATGCAATTGACAAGGAAACTGTTCTTTCTGTGACATATAACACTTCAATAATCAGAATATCAAGCGAGGACCTTATACCAAAACATTAAAATTTTAGGAACGGCAATACATACTTGAGCAGTTATAGCACTTACTCATGAAATACAACCTAAGGTTTACCATTATTTGAGAGTGCTTTTCCAAGTAACTTAACATACCAAATAAAAAGACTTCATTTACAATTTAAACCCTGGGAAGTTTGTTAAAATCTTAGAAAGTTTATAAAGCACATCCTACATGGGATTACAGATCATTACAAATCTTTATTTATTTACCCAAGATGCCAATAAGAGATTCAAAGGCAAATATGTAGGGTTCTGTACTTGTTAGCGAAGCTACGCTCCTTTAACACTGAGAAGTTTTTTTTAAATTTTTTTTTTCTTCGTTTTTATTTTTATTTTTGGGACAGAGAGAGACAGAGCATGAACGGGGGAGGGGCAGAGAGAGAGGGAGACACAGAATCGGAAACAGGCTCCAGGCTCCGAGCCATCAGCCCAGAGCCCGACGCGGGGCTCGAACTCACGGACCGCGAGATCGTGACCTGGCTGAAGTCGGATGCCTAACCGACTGCGCCACCCAGGCGCCCCAACACTGAGAAGTTTTAACTAAGTAATCAAAGACCTGAAAAAGTCAAAACATAAGCTTTGGTTTTCCCTGCAGACAAAAGAGAAAAATGCCTTTGTTTACATTTTCTTATCAAGAGCAGATCAACAGTCCAAGAAAACATTGTCTTTTGAGCAGAAAGAATGGCAGAATTTTAATCTCGTACCAGGATACTTTTAAAATCCATTAATCTCAACCTTAGTCCATCCTGACCACACATATAGTTCCTTTCCAAAGATATCCCTTCACGAACCTTCTACAACTTTCCTTTGCCTTCAGATTTTCTCCCAAGCCAGTTCTCTCCAAATAACAGTCTCATTTAGGACAAAATTACTTTCTTTTACCTTCACCAAAAAATGTATTTCCATTCCTTGTATCTTTCTTACATATCACCTACTTTTCTACATACAGAGTTTTTTCCTCATTTCCATCAGTCTTAAGTACACTTAGCAGAATTTTAACTCTTCGAAACCTTCATCTCCCATGAAAACGTAGTAACCAATTGTAAACTGTTACACCACAGTTCTTTAGATGGCAAATTTGCAAATCAATTAAGCACAAAAGCCTGCTTACCAATAGACCCAAACAGCCTTAGTTTCTCTGCAGTAAGTCAAAAGCACAAACCTACATCCACTAATCAATGCTTTAGCTTCTTATCTCATTAGATATCCAATGAATTTAATCCCATGTATCATGCAATCAAAACTTTAAAGTTTTAGGTTACCAAAGGCTTTGAAGGCTATCTTAACAATTACCCATAAAAACTTTGAGACAGACAAAATTAACCATTAAGTCGTCTCTTTGCTAACAAATTGCAACAGAGATAACATGAGTTTACTTGACCTTCAGTGAACCTTGGTAGAATAAGTTTCATATAAATTTTTTTTAATGTTTATTTCTTTTTGAGAGAGAGAGAGAGAGAGAGAGAGAGAGAGAGACAGAGTGTGAGCAGGGGAGGGTCAGAGAGAGAGGGAGAGGCAGAATCCAAAGCTGACAGCGCAAAGCCAGACGCAGGGCAAGAACTCACAAACCTTGAGATCATGACCTGAGCCAACGTTGGATGTTTAACCAACTGAGCCACCCAGGTGCCCCTAAAAGTTTTATATTTGATGCTGGTAACTCTAAAGACAGATCTATCTTAATTAAACCAGCAAACTTAAATTAGCTTAAGCACCGAATATGTTTCACCTGCACCCACTTAAAAGTCAATCAATTTTTCCCCATTGTCAGTTTTTACCTGGGACACCAGTGCAGGAACCTGAGGTGGGCGGTCCAAGTGGATGCTCTTCACTCCTTGACATCGAGGGTGGGAGGAGGAGCCAGTGGTGCTGGCTGAGGATGGTATAGGAACCAGTAATGTAGGCCACGCCCAAGGTGGTGCAGAAACAGGAAGAGGGGGAGGGGAAGGCAGGAGAGATGAGATGCCAGCAGAAGGCAGACAGAATTCCCGGTTCTAAACCTTGTCCACTCGGACAGAGGAGCAGAGGCCATGTTTTTTCCACCAACGTGGAAATACGGAGTCCGTGTTTGGCTGGAGTAGACAGAGAATTTCCCGGAAACAAATGGAGTTTTGGCAGCTGCTTGGGAATAGTCCTTAAAGTCCCCGTCCTGAGGTAGACTAACCAGAGTTGGCTCCAGTTATCATAGCCATTAACCTGGGAAATGAATGAGGGAGAAGCCCTCACATCTATTAGGAGGAGGAACAGGCAGAAAGAGTCAGCGTCTCCTTTGTCAGGGATGGCCGGTGCTTCCTCCAGCGACTGAGTTCTGTTAGGAGGACGCCTATTTAGATCATTATCATCCGGTATATCACAAGGGAGTTTACTGGCCTGGTTACTGACTAAACATGTTCTGCAAGAGGCCCTTGGGTCCAGGTCCTGATTTAGAGCGGTGAAGGCCTGGACCTAGGGTACCTCCGTCCATTTGCCCTGTTTACTAAGGCCATGCAATGTTACAGGAGATCAGTCCTTTCCTACATTTTGCAATGTTTTCATTGATTTGTTTCCAGTGGTTAAAAAGGCATCCCAGGGGAGAGTCCCTGGGGACCGAAGAGAAGCTCCCATGCTTCTCCAGAGCAGAGACAGAGAAGTAGTGAAGGTCCATTACCACGAGAATCCCCCTGACGCGTGGCATCCCACGTGCAGGATATGTCAGAGGTTCCTGAGGTGTTAAAGCGACCTGAAGCATCCCTCAAATGAAGTCGCTATGATCATGGACCAGTCGCTATGGCCCCTGAGGAAAGATGCTAGTGTCTCCCCACCTCCCCATTGCATCCTAGGCTACAGGTGGGTGCCAGCGTATGGACCTGAGTTTGTCTTGCTAAGAAGGCAGAGAAGAAACCGCTGTTTTTAACCCATGGAGAATACTGGAAAAGTTTTACAAGGGGGAATCACCCAATTTTGTAATTTAGTAGTTAGCAGAGAACATTGACTAAAAACAGTAAAGACAAATCCATCATGAGCTAAGAACATTCCAATACATGTAGTCTTTACAGCCAACTTCCCTAGAAAACGGTCCCCAGTTGGGTTTTCATTCAATGGGGTACTGGTTTCGGCCGGCTCCCAGTGGAGGTCTCTCAGCCAGAAGCGGCTAGATCAGAGATGTGGAGGGGATCATGTTAGACCAATGAGGAGGAAACCTCAAACAGGAGTCTTAAGACTGACAGCCATCCTGGTGACTTAGTGGCTGTCCCATGCCCAAGACAGACAACTTTGTATAAGGACAGGAATAAAGAGAGGGCATCAAGTTTCTGGGTCTTACTACCATTCCGGCCAGGGTACTAACTTCCAGCCGAAAGGCTGGCTTTCTCCTCCCCGTAGAGTAGCCACGGGCTAGAGGATTGCGACCTGAGCAATTGACATGAAAGTGTTCCAGTAAGACCATCCTCCTCGAAAAGCCCCTGAAATGGGAGTAAAGGGAGAAAAGAGAAAGTACTCACCGGGTTTGCACCAGCTCAGAGCCCAGATGAAAAGACTCGAAGCCCATGTTAAAGTCACAAAATGATGGGGTTGTTGGGTGATGGTGGGGTGGGTGGTCCGGAGCCAACGGCCAGGAAAGAATTCTTGAAGACATCTTTGGGGCAAAAAGGTGATTTTATTTTATCTTTATTTCAAAAAAATGTTTTAATGTTTATTTTTTTTGAGAGAGACAGAGTGTGAGCAAGGGAGGGGCAGAGAGAGAGAGGAGACACAGAATCTGAAGCAGGTTCCAGGCTCTGAGCTGCCAGCACAGAGCCGGATGTGGGGCTCAAAGTCATGAACTGCGAGATCATGACCTGAGCTGAAGTTGGATGCTTAGCCGACTGAGCCACCCAGATGCCCCCAAAAAGTGATTTATTTTATTAAAGTGCGGGGATAGGACCCGTGGGCAGAAAGAGCTGCACTGGGGTTGTGACGAGTAACTGATTAGATACCCTCAGGTTGGGAGGGGGTCAGGGACAGCATAAGTTTCTAAGGAACTTTTTAAGCAAGCTTTCCAGGATCTTGAAGGGCCAGCTGCTGTTAGGAAAAGGCCATTTTTACCATTTAGTAAAGCCTCATTCACGAGACCCTTCAGATGTATATCAGGGGCCATAAGCTTGAAGTATGATTGTCAGCATATATCTTGGGGGAGTTGAGATAAAGGAAGTTTCCAAAGGAATTTTTACATGTTACAGTAGACTTACAGGATCATGGCGGGGGGGGGGGGGCGTCAGGATAATGTTAAGTCAAGATTCCCTTTTGCCAATAGTAAAGTGTCATCATCAAGGCAGCTGAGCTCCTAGAGGGAGGACACTCTCCTGGTCTCAAGGACTTGTCAATGGGCTGTAGGCAGTAAGGGAGTTTAATTTCTCACTTGCCTTAGTTTCCCACATCACCATGGCAAACACTTAAATCCCTTTCCTTTGTTCTTGGGTAGTCAAGGTTGTCCAAGGAATATCACCCATATTCCACCTGCGGAGGAGGCGGGCTCCTGTCAGCCTACTTTGCCCTCAGCTTGCCCCACGCTCCGTCATCAGTTTGAAGCCACCTGTTCCAGAGGACGGCAGCCTCCGTCCTGGGAGGGACAAGAGTAGCAACCTCTCTGCCTTTTAGTCACTTCCAGGAGCACTAGCCAGCTCAGCCCAAGGATGGGGGGCCTCCATACCCCTGTGGGGAGAGGCTAGAGTGATGTCGTCTTCAACAGCAGAGGCAAGTATGACAGCAGCAGAGACAAGCTTGCCGTTTACTAAGGTGACTGCTCCCAGTGTCCTCAGCATTCAGCCTCAGCCTGCCGTCTCCGCCCCGTGGGCTCCTTTACCTGCCACGGTGGTCCCCAGGGAGAAGGACATCCTCTTGTCTCAGAGCGCTGAAGCGGAGGAAAAATAAGTTTCCTTTTACCCTTCTATGTCTGGCGGTGTAGGGCAGCACAATTCGGACCCCCTCACCATACACGTACCTGTCTCATTGGAGTGTGGATTCTTTTAGGTAGTTATATATATATTTTAATTTAAATCCAAATTAGTTAACATATAGTGTAATAATGATTTCAGGAATAGAATTTAGTGATTCATCACTTACATATAACACCCAGTCCTCATCCCAACAAGTGTTCTCCTTAAAGCCCCTCACCCATTGAACCCACCCCCCCCACCCAACACCCCTCCAGCAACCCTCAGTTTGTTCTCTGTATTTAAGAGTCTCTTACAGTTTGTCTTCCTCTCTGTTTTTATATTATTTTTGCTTCCCTTCCCTTATGTTCATCTGTTTTGTGTCTTAAATTCCACATATAGGGGCGCCTGGGTGGTGCAGTCGGTTAAGCATCCGACTTCAGCCAGGTCACGATCTCGCGGTCCGTGAGTTCGAGCCCCGCGTCAGGCTCTGGGCTGATGGCTCGGAGCCTGGAGCCTGTTTCCGATTCTGTGTCTCCCTCTCTCTCTGCCCCTCCCCCGTTCATGCTCTGTCTCTCTCTGTCCCAAAAATAAATAAACGTGGAAAAAAAATTAAAAAAAAAATTCCACATATGAATGAAATCATGATATTTGTCTTTCTGTGACTTTTTTCGCTTAGCATAATATACTCTAGTTCCATCCACGTTGTTGCAAATGGCAAGATTTCATTCTTTCTGATCGCCAAATAATATTCCACTATATATATATACACACACACATATATATATGTATGTATGTATATATATATACATATACACACACCATATCTTCTTTATCCATTCATCAGTTGATAGACATTTGGGCTCTTCCCATACTTTGGCTATTGTCAATAGCACTGCTATAAACATTGGGGTACATGTGCCCCTTCGAATCAGCATACCTGTATCCTTTGGATAAACACCTAGTAGTGCAATTGCTGGGTCATAGGGTAGTTCTAGTTTTAATTTTTTGTAGAACTTCCATGCTGTTTTCCAGAGTGGCTGCATCAGTTTGCAGTGCAAAAGGTTCCTCTTTCTTCGCATCCTTGCCAACATCTGTTATTGCCTGAGTTGTTAATTTTATTTTATTTTTAAAAAAATTTTTAATGTTTATTTATTTTTGAAGGAGAGAGAGACAGAGTGTGAGTGGGGGAGGGGCAGAGAGAGAGGGAGACAGAATCTGAAGCAGGCTCCAGGCTCCGAGCTGTCAGCACAGAGCCCATCGCGGGGCTCAAACTCACGAACCGCGAGATCATGACCTGAGCCGAAGTCGAACGCTCAACGGACTGAGCCACCCAGGCGCCCCGTGAGTTGTTAATTTTACCCATTCTGACAGTTGTGAAGTGATATCTCATTGTGGTTTTGATTTGTATTTCCCTGATGATGAGTGACGTGGAGCATTTTTCATGTGTCGGTTGGCCATCTGGGTGTCTTCTTTGGAGAAATGTCTATTTATGTCTTTTGCCCATTTCTTCACTGGATTATTTGTTTTTTGGGTGTTGAGTTTGATAAGTTCTTTATAGATTGTGGATACTAACCCTTTATCTGATATGTCATTTGCAAATATCTTCTCCCATTCTGTTGGTTGACAGTTTTCTGTAGTTTTGCTGATTGTTTCCTTTGCTGTGCAGAAGCTTTTTAATTGATGAAGTCCCAATAATTCATTTTTTGTTTTTGTTTCCTTTGCCTGCAGAGACATGTAGAGTAAGAAGTTGCTGTCGCCGAGGTCAAAAAGGTTGTTGTCTGTTTTCTCCTCTAGGATTTTGATGGCTTCTTGTCTTATGTTTAGGTCTTTCATTCATTTTGAATTTATTTTTGTGTATGGTGTAAGAAAGTGGTCCAGGTTCATTCTTCTGCATGTCGCTGTCCAGTTTTCCCGGCACCATTTGCTGAAGAGACTGTTTTTGTTCCATTGGGTATTCTTCCCTGCTTTGTCAAAGATTAGTTGGCCATATGTTTGTGGGTTCATTTCTGGGTTTTCTATTCTGTTCCACTGATCTATGTGTCTGTTTTTCTGCCAGTACCATACTGTCTTCATGATTACAGCTTTGTAATACAGCTTGAAGTCTAGAAGTGTAATGCCTCCAGCTTTGGTTTTCTTTTTCAGGATTGCTTTGGCTATTTGGGGTCTTTTCTGGTTCCATACAAACTTTACAATTGTTTGTTCTAGCTCTGTGAAGAATGCTGGTGTTATTTTCATAGGGATTGCATTGAATATGTAGGTTGCTTTGAGTAGTATTGACATTTTAACAATATTTGTTCTTCCAATCCATGAGCATGGGATGTTTTTCTGTGTTTTTGTGTCTTTTTCAATTTTTTTCATAAGCCTTCTATAGTTTTCAGTGTATAGATTTTTCACCTCTTTGGTTAGGTTTATTCCTAGGTATACTGTGGATTTTGGTGTAATTGTAAATGGGATCGATTCCTTGATTTCTCTTTCTGCTGCTTCATTACTGGTGTATAGAAATGCAACTGTTTTCTGTACATTGAGTTTATATCCTGCAACTTTGCTGAATTAATGGAACAGTTCTACCAGTTTTTTGGTGGAGTCTTTTGGGTTTTCCATGAGTATCATGTCGTCTGTGAAGAGTAAAAGTTTATTTCCTCTTTGCTGATTTGAATATTAGGTGGTTATTTTTATTTTATTTTATTTTCTTAATGTTTATTTTTGAGAGAGAGAGAGAGAGAGAGAGCAGGAGAAGGGTAGATAGAGAGGGAGACACAGAATCCAAAGCAGGCCCCAGGCTCTGAGCTGTCAGCATAGAGCCCAATGTGGGGTTCGAACCCACTAACTGTGAGATCATGACCTGAGCCGAAGTCAGACGCTCAATTGACTGAGCCACCCACACACCCCTAGGGAGTTATTTTTAAGAAACAGAAGACTTTAAGAAGTTTTTCTTTTTTGCCTTCCTGCTAACTGCCTAAAAGAATTTAGGTAGAGGACCTGTTCCAGGAAGGGAGCTATCACCATACATAACTATATATGATATGAACTAGGTATGGTAGACAAGGAGAAATCTAGCATGGTATGTTTCATTGTTTCTTGATATCCCAGAAAACCTTTTGTTTAACAAACATTTACTCTTCCCTTTCTTCCTGTGACTTGCCTTCCTTCCCTTGAAAACTCCAGATCCCTACCCACTTTCTACTTAGTCCAGCATGACTTACATACCTCATTTTGCCTGTCTATGGAATTGTTCCTGTTTATATGGCTTCCCTGTATTTACATAATTAAATTTGATATTCTCATGTTAATCTGTGTGATGTCAATTAAATATTTAGGCCAGTCAGAAGGACCTTCCAGGATAGAGAAAAAATTTTCCTTCCTAACACAGTATATGATATATGTGCAGGTGTGTTATGTATTACTAAATTTTTTAAAAATTAAAGTGAGGGGTGGGGCACCTGGGTGGCTCAGTCAGTTTAACGTCCGACTTCAGCTCGGGTCATGATCTCACGGTTTGTGAGTTCGAGCCCCTCATTGGGCTCTGTGCTGACAGCTCAGAGCCTGGAGCCTGCTTCAGATTCTGTGGCTTCCTCTCTCTCTGTCCCTTCCCCACTCTCACTCTCTCTCTCTCTCAAAAATAAATAAACATTAAAAAATTAAATTAAAATGAGGGGTGCCTGGCTGCCTTAGTCAGTAGAGCATGGGGTTCTTGACCTCAGGGTTTTGAGTTCAAGCCTCA